ACACACAAAAATATTCACTGAGTACATTTATAAGTAGAAGCGAATCAATATAGTTCGTTTCTTAGATGGCCCGGCATGGCCAAGTGGTTAGGGCGCTAGACTAGCAATCTGAGAGGCACTTGTTCGAAGCCCCGTCTCACTAAACATGCTCGCCCTTTCAGCCATTGGGGCATTGTAATGTGACGGTCAATCCCACTATTATATGGTGAAAGAGTATCCCAAGAGTTGGCGGTGGGTGGTGATGACTAGCTGCCTTACCTCTAGTCTTACACTGCTAAATTAGGGACGGCTAGCGCAGATAGCCCTCGTGTAGCTTTGCGCGAAATTCAAACCAATTTTTTTTTTACGTGCAAAAATATTTATTAGTATTTATAGTTGGTTCTCTAAACAAACTGATATACCCCCCCAGTTGCACAGCGGCATGTCTTCGGACTTACAACGCTATAATTATAATCCGGGTTTCGATACCCGTTGTGGGCAGACCCCCAGATAGCCCATTGTGTAGCTTTGTACTTAATTACAAACAAACTGATATAATTATTTTAAAAACTTTGGCATGGGGATAGTTCTTGTTATTAATATTTCACATTTATCTTTTTATACATTACGTGATTTATGCGTGTTTGCACGGTTCCACATAGCCATAGCATTAATGATTTACAGCAACTGATACCTACATCACAGTGGAGAGATCTTACCCTCTATTTGATGATTTACCATCGGAGGAAGTTCTTTTGAGTTATCCAATTTCATCTTTCTCTGTAAATTTATCTTTCTTTTGTAGTAAATGGATCCTCAAATATTTCTAAAAAGAAAATTATTCCGTAAAACGGATAACTTGTGAATTTTCGCATTTTGGAGATGTATATTTCCAGTGAGGTGTGTACATCGAAGTGAACGGTTGAAGAAAAAACCACAGACAACGGTTAGGGTTAAAAAGTGAAGATAATTCTTTATAGTTTTTTCTTTTAACGTTTACATTACGTTTAGACTGCCTTATAGATATGACTGTTTTTGTTTTGAAATATGAAAAGCGAAAAACCTAATAGCAGTAATTCTATATCATATTTATTTCTGTGGCGAAAATCACAACAAATTATTTTATTATCCAGATTACCGGCTTGAAATATAAATATCTATACTATTATTCTGCTTGCTTGTATGTACGACCGTTACGCTTTTTGACCGAGAACCTGCTGCATAAGCATACGTAGTTAGAATGTTTCCCCCATAAAAAAATCGCGCATGCGCATTATTCACTCGACGACAAACAGTCTGCCTGCGGCAGGGAGCTGCAAAGCTCAGTGATCAAGTTGTTACAATTGCTGTATGAAACAAGAAGTAACAACAAAAGGGGAATGTAAATATACTTTACTAACCATTTTGTACAACAGAATTTAAAAACTTACCAAAGTTTTTAAAAAGGTTTGACGTTACGTCGTAGAATAACATTATAAGTTTATTTATTGATAGTATTAAGTACAATAAAGTTTAGTCCTAACTAAACTAAAGTAAAAAACAACATACACAGGTTACAGTATTAATTTATCTCTTTATTGAACTTAGGCCTAACATAGGTTAAAGTTTTATAAAGTACAGTATATACAAGTGGATTTACACATTTCATTTTCTACGATTACAATTTGTATGTATTGTGCTCGAAATGTTATATTTAAAGAAGTACTGTTACGATAAAGATACTAATTTGGCCAGAAATGTTTTGCGGGTCTCTGCTAGTTTTGATTAATGGATTAGTTTACTAGACATCAATTGCTGCTCATGGGTAATCAATTATGCTGATTAATTGATCAAATCCCCCAGCTCTGATTGGCACTAATTTACCTTACATGTTTGTTTGAAAAAGATTAAGTATCAGAGTTGTTGGCATGGAGATTACCCGTCTGTTAATCATCATATTTGATAACATTTTGTTGAACTTGTGTGTTATTTCCTCATCACAGTTGGTAATATTTTAGTGTTCTTTTGTATGCCTTTTTTATCATACCTTGCTGTGCCTTGTGTACGTTTGTATTTGGAGTGCTTCTGCATTCCTTTTCATACATATACTATAGAGTTGAACCAGAAATATATAAATATATAGAAGAGTAAGAAAACTGTACCAACAATCACATTAGTACAAGTGTTCCAATTGCTTGGTGTCACACTTGATGTATTTATGTTTTATTCCTTTATCAACCTTGGAGCCATTTATTTAAATCTGAAACAAGAGATATATTGAGTGCATAAATATATAGTTACTTTTGGCCACTTCTCTGTGTATGAGATGCAGAACAAGTTCAAAGTATACTTTTTTTTCACTACAGTATATCTTGTAAATATTTTAAACAATATCAAAATACTTGATGTTATCAGTCATAATTTTATTCATGTCCTTTGCTGACTGCCCATTCTTACATATACTGTGTCAAAAGTTGAGAAAAGAAGTGCAAGTCATTATTAATAAGAACTTCTAAGTGAAGGTAAAAAAAAGTGTGTAGTAATTGTTCTTTATCAATGTCTGACCTCCATGTGGGTTTGCAGAGACTTCAAGTTTTACAAAAGACTGAGTAAGTTTCAGAACCAAAAAATGTTACTTTATAGACAATGCAAGCTATCAGAACTTTACATTTATAGAGAGCAGCATGAAAGATATATTTTTACTTTGTTGAGATTTATGAAGAAAGTACATGTACACATACACACGTAAATACATGTATATTTTTGTAGATGTGTAAAAAGCGTAATATAACCAAGCTCTGTTTCAGTAAGAAAATCTTTTCCAGTAATATAATGATTGAAGTATCTTGATACTAAATAGATAAATATAAATAGAACCTGAGAACAAGGAAAGTTAATTCCTGAGCTTGTCATCAACAGTTAATATAAAATTCATAACAAAACTAATTTTATTATCTTAGTAAAAAGATTAAACCCAAAAAATGGATTCTTAGTTATTAGAGATTGAGATTTTAGATGAAAAATTAGAGATTTACTAAATTTTCCACAGTATATGAAAGTTTAAATAAAATTCAGTTTCCTAAATTATGCGCAAAAGTTTGTTAGTGCATTGCTAAATGTTTAATCTTGGATTCTTTTGAAGAATAAAAAGAACTTTTCACCCATAGCTTGGTCTTGTTTCAGCTTTACTATTTACTATAAATGTATTGAGGATGGGACTACATTACTTTCATTTAGTGCTTGTTGGACAATGCTTGAGCTGTCCTTGAATAGGATTAAATTGTTCTTTTAAATGATCTCCCAGTCTTCTGACAGTTGAGCCAACATAAGCGACCCACACTCTTTGGACAACAGAATTCATAAATAATACATGACTGTTGAGAGAATTACATTCAATCTTTAAACTTGAAAAATTTTGAATCCTCGGTAGAGGTCTTAATATGTATTGAAGGTGAGTTTGGGAATAGAGTCTGTTGGTTATTGCATTTAATTTCTTCTTCAAGATTCATGAGTGTGAGCCTGTATACTGTAGAAAGAACATTACTTGTAGCTTTAGGATGCCATAGTTGAGTGATGTGGATAGAGGTAGTTGTTGAATGGTTTTACTGATGGTACAACTTATAAAATTGTTTGGGAAGGAGTTAAGTTTCAAAATGGATTTTAGTCTGAGCAACTCCTGCTGTAAAAGTTCACAGAACTAGTGATTTGGTGTGCATGTGACATAAGACATTTCACAAGTTTTTTTTTCAAATGAAATGGTACAAAAGTTAAAGTGGATGTATAGTCCAGTATAAGTGAGTTTCTGATAACAACCAACATCAAATGTCATTGTTTGTTGAACATGTGTGTCAAGAAAGGGTAGAGTAGAGCATTTTTTTGGCATTCATGAGTGAATTTAATGTTTAAGGCCAGTTCAGACTGTCTTTTATTACCTATATAAACTGTTTCTGTTGCTTTGTGATGTTCAGTCCTATAACATCTTCACCCACAGTACTTGCACTAATTGGCTCAAATTTCTCATCAAATGATTCAGTTCTGATTTAGATGGAATAGGTGTGGAATACTTTCTTAGTTACCTTTCACTAGAAACAACATTTGACTGTACTTTTGGCTGCACTGTCTCCAGTAAAAGACCTTACAAGATGGAAGTCTGATGGGGATCTGGGACAATCTCTGTGTCTCCAGAATCAAATCCCTTTGTCGAGTGAAACATGGGAAACCCATACCACATGCACATTCTAACTCTAAAATCTGTTTTAAAATATAACTCCTTCCCGAAGTACTTTATTGATTTTACTAGCAATAAAACCATTCAGTAATTACATCTACCCAGGTCACTGAACTATGATGTCCAGAGCTACAGGTAATGATGTCTCTACCATACACAGACTCGCACTCATGAATCTTGAAGAAGAAATTTGACACCATAATCAACAGTCAATCCACAAATTTGCCTTCAATTTATGTCCAGACTATTATTGAAAATTGAGATTTTTTTCAGGTTTAATGATCTTATCTATTTTTTTCAACAGCCACGTTCCTTGTGAATTCTGCTGCCCAGTGCGTGGGGGGGCACTTATGTCGGATTGACTGATAGAAGACTGGGAAATTGTTTAAAGGAACACTCTAATCCTAAGTTCAAGCATTTTACGACATGCATTAAGTGAATGTGATGTAGTCCCAACCCCCAGTATGTTCAAAGTAATCAGTAAAGCCTGAAACAAGATTATGCTGTGAGTGAAGGAGACACTTCTGAGCTTTCAAATGAAATCTAGACTAAACAATCAGCAAACTGCTACAGAATTTTTACTTACAATTTAAATAATTGAAATGTTTTTTTATATCAATCCAAAGTTCTATGATATTTATCTAGTTTGGCTAGCCAAAATGTCTTTCTCACAGAAAATAAAATTGTGGGTCAGGGATGATCTGGTAGCTAAATATTTCTGTCTCTACTCTGCGTGTGGTGAATATTTCTTTTCTGTACTTTTAATAAGTTATTTTAGTTGTACGATATAACATTAGTTGTTTATTTTACTCAGGAAAGAAGTCTAGCTGCAAGTCTTTCTAGAGGTAAGTTTATATTTGTTTTTCACTTTCTCTATAAATGCTGTGTCAAATTGTTTTAACACTAAAATAAGCAAAACCAGATGTGTTAATGTGTATTAAACTAGAGTTTAGAAATTTAGTACTGATATCCACATTTGTTGGTAATATCACTATTCGTATTCTCAACTTTGTAAAGACTGCTGTAAAAGAGAAGCTTTGTATGTACAAGTACATACACTTGTATCTTACTCTACTAACTAAGCTTTATGAAATTAAAAATATTACTTAGCGATTTATTTTTTGTATTTGAATAAACTTGCTCGTAATGTTTATTGTTTGTAGTAGTTTTATGGAAGTTTGTGTTATTTTTGATTATTACACACACAAACTTTGTACTGATGATTAATTGCTAATTGTCAACATAGCTATGTCAACTTATTACACAATAAAAGTTATAAATCAGTTTTGATGACTAAGATATAGTAGTATATTATTGCCCATCTTCAAATATGATTAAAACAGATAATCTAAAGCAAATGTTGTTTAAAAGTTTAATAAATTCTGTAAAAATATTTTTTAATAATCTAAATATATCAAGGTTAAAGTTTATCCAAGGTTGGTTTTATGTGCATTAGCACACTTGTGCAAGTTACAGGTTGGCATCCCTTGTAAGAGAAGTGTGGGATTTCCAATAAATGAAACTTAACAATTTTAAATTTTTTAAATCCTTCAAAATTAGAAAAAGAAGGAAATTAAAACCGTAATAATACCCATGAAGTTAAAATGTAATTTACATTTTCAACTCACAAAGGAAAATGTATTTAATTTACCAACTTGATATAGTAATAATGGAGTTCACAAGCTAAATGCTGATCAATAATAGCTAATCAATCCATGTAATCAGATTTCATTGGTACAGGTAAAGATCATTAAAGCACATTTGAAAATATATTAAATAGATTAGTTATTATCTTTCAATGAATTTGAAAATCATATATAATCAGAATGGCTAATATTCCCAGGTGACAGTGTCAGATGGGCACTCTCCTTTTTTTCGTATGATCTAAAACTGTTCCTAAGTGTACCATTTGTAACTTGGAAACTATATAATTTTGTTGAAAGTCTGGTCAACATAATCATTTGGTATTTCAATCAGCCAGTAACAGACATTATAAAACTTGTGTTCTGTATTCAACAACATGAACAGTTTGCAAATTGCAAGCTCTTTGATGTTTAATCCAACTAAACTATATCATTTTTTTATCATATGACTACATGTTTACTTAAAAGTATATTTAAGAAAGACGCAGGTATCCATAATTTAACATGCGCTGTTTTCATACTGTGAACTATTGTCTTTGTTAGGTAGCAGAATTTCCCCTCTCACTTGCTATACAACAGTGCTCCATAGAAAACATAGGGGTAATACAGCTCATGTAAGTGAAGAAATGCTACTCACCTTTTCACAGAGCAGATAGCTAATACCTCATGGCACTATCAAAAAGTATTTAGCAAGACTCTGAATTAAACCTCCATCAAATGTGATAATGTGTATTGCACCAATCTATGATGCAGTCAGCATTAGACTATTCTTCTTCAACAAAAGGAGAGCGACACATCCTCCATGTACAGTACTCCCCGTGAACACTTTGTGTATACAAAAACCTCATTTATTTTCCTCAGCACTGCAGTGCTCAGTTGTGTTCGTTTTTCATTCAAAATTGCAGAATTTTTGCACTTGCTGTTTTCAACTTTTAGTTAACATTTGAAACCTTATCTTTCTTACCTTCATTTTCTTGATTTCCAGAATAAAAGATACAGATTCTTAAATTTATTGTGGTTAGAGCTTCTGATATGAATTAGCTTTTCTTTTATTACTTTTATTTCTTCTCTTAATCAAACTACAATAACTTGGGTCTTGTTCTAGAGTCTGTGATTTTTTTTTTTACAGAAATATTTCTCACTCTCATTAACCCAGTGTTTGGGGTTCATCAGAAGCTGATAATTAATCTCAGTTTTGTTAATACAAAATCTACCAAGGCCAATTACCATGGACATATCAGACCTATTGAAAAAATGTAGAAATGATAGTAGTATTATTCATTTCCATCAGTTTGGTTTTGTGGATCTTATTGAATATGACTTCTTATATTCACATTTCTGACATCTCCAGAAGTCAAGACACTCCTCCATAGGAGTTGTCCTACTTTCCTTGAATGACAACTGGAGTTACTCTAGCAGTGTGTAGTGTTACCATCATTATACATCATGTAACTTATCCTATCCAACATTTTACATCTCAAACCCAAGACTCATGGCCTCCTGTTTCTGTAACTTCTGGGTCAAAAGTTTCCATGTGACTCTAAGCATCTGTCCTCTTCCACCCCACTCAGACTTTCACTTTTTATGGATGTCTTTCTAACTGAATGAGGTGCAGTTTTGAATACCTTCACTATTAATACTCACGTCTCTACAGAACAGATAGCTAATACCTCACTGCATTGTTGTTATACAACATTGCTCCATAGTTTTATACACGTGGGGGTAATATGCTTATACTCTTATATAGAGTTTATACAAATGTATAAATTCAGAAATACTACTTGCCTTTCCACTCAACAGCTAGCTAATATGTTGCAGCTCTGCCAAAAAGTTTTTGACAAGACTTGAAACAAAACTTCCATCCAAATATGTAATAACATTTATTCTAGGTTTTGTCTCTCAGTGTGGAACCTTATACACATGACAGATTATTCCACATACCTATATGATGTTCTTTCATGTTCAAATTCATCCCTTTTGCATTTCTGTGGACCTGCCACCATATTTTGTTACAGCAGTCTGGGCATCCCATTTTGATCTATTCCAACAAACACTGTCATTTCTTACATCAGCTAACAGAGAGGTACTCTCTTTTGTGACCTCTGCTTTCTTGTTCTCAAGCTACTCTTTTTGGGTTCATCACACCAATATCCAGTTGTTGGCCTTCCATGTTCTGCTTTGCATTTAATGGCACATCAGCCTTTTTGCCCAGACTAAATCTTTCCAACAGGGCAGTCCTTACATTTCATAATGTTTCTGTAAGTTTGTTCCCACTTTGAGAGTCCTCATCAATCCATTATTTGTGACTCCTCTGTATAACAAGCTTCCACTTTTTTGGTCACTCGTCCCAGATTTATTGTCCTGCAGTATTCCCTCTGAGTTTGGATTGGACCACCCTCTTTCTGCATGCCTGTCCTACTCTTTGACTTCTTCCAAGGGAGTTGTCTTTAATTCTCAGCACCCATTGTCAAGCTCTTCTCATTGCCCTTCTTTGGCTAATTCAGTCATGGTTTACACTCTTTTGCCTCTTTACAATCCTTTAGTCTCTGTCTCTTCCATCTTGGAGGTCCATTTTTATGTCAGTCTTAAACATCCATCTTTTAGGTGGTTTAGTTATGCTGGTCCATTTGCCACCCCATTCCTTTAGGTTGTCGATAGATCCAATATGTAAGGTGAAAGTGTGGCCTAAATTCCAGGATGTTTTTTAAACAACAAACTATTTAGTAGTATTACCAAAAAAAAAAGAAAGAAACTGTACGAGATTAATGATAATCATGCTAAAAAGTTATACTATAACTGTATTCAGTTTTTACTGATATGGGGATTTTCACCTGATGAAGAAAGAACAACCACAGTATGAATTACTGAGCAAAACTTGTGTTTCAAAAAAGATATATTCCGATACAGTACATTACCTCCTCTCACATAAATAGTTATTCTCGTTCAGTGCTGCCTCCTATGTGCAAAACACTTTTTTACACATGCCACAAACTTTTTATTTCCCCCTCAATTGGAAGTGACTGATTCCAATGCGTCTGTCATGCAAATCATCAGGTGACAACCCTCCACCAATAAGAGTGTTAAATACTCTCATTTCGCATGTGACTCCCTCTATTGAATTTACCAAACTATCGCTTCGTTTAGCAGTACTCGTGTTCAGACATATTTTTTATTTTTTTTGGTGCTCTTCTAGTGATTCACATTTTGACTTTAATTGTTTAATGGGATTTCTTCAATAGTTTTTTCTTTACATGAAGGAGTATTTTACTTTAACTTCATTTCACATCCTTTATTTTTTTTCTTCTCACACTTACAGTTTTTAACATCAGACACTTTTATTTGATATATATATATTTCTACAATGTATTCTGAGGTTCATGTTACCACTTCGAGTATCATACCTCCTACCAGCACTATTTCACAGGCTGCAGGTGGGGGAGACTTATTGTTGGATTTATCTGCGATTATCCACTGTGAAATTGATTGTTATATGGGTTAACCTACCTCTCCTGAACTTGCCCCACTTTCTCCTGAGCGAGCCGAACCTGTTCAGGCCAATGAAGGTTTTGATAGCTTTTTTCCACCACCGGGTTTTGTAGTGTCTTTCTATGCCCCACCTGTGGAATCAGCTAGGCCTAATACTGCATTTTTTAAACATGATTTCATGGGTATATGATGTTTTATCCATTTCTTTGATTTCCTATGATCCCTGTCCTTTGTTACACAATAGTTATTCCTCTCCTTATTTAGTTTTCCCATCCTCCCCAAATATTAGGGTTCATGCTGGGCAATTTGTTTTAGAATTGGTTGAGGATGCCACAGGCTATGGATCAGTTTGCATTAGCTTTCCATCAGGCTGACTGTTCATTTCTGGACAGTTGGAGTCGATTTTACCTGAGTCCCTGATTTTCCTGTGCATTTAACCCATGCCCAGTTTTCATGCCTTCATCTTACCCTTACTTCCCATTTACAGTATTTATCTACTATCCATCTCCTTTCTGAGGCAATCTACAGAGATCCTGAGGGTTTTTCAAGGGAAAACCTCTCCCTTATGACCTCCATGTTGGCTAGATTGTCGTCTTCAGCTCTCACTTTACACACATGATTTCACTGTTCTTGGAATCTTCTGGCTCGAGATGCGGCCTTGTTCCAGGTTCATTTGCTGCCCCCTTATCTTAGGGATTTATGTATGGCCTCTTTTCTTCGGCAATATGTTTTCAGTCATGTACCGGAGACTTTGGAATCACATGTGGAGTCTGTGCATCAACACTCTACCCTTTCCTCTTTGGTAGCACATTTGTCTCAGTCAGAGCCAAGATAAGCCCCTATTCTTGTTTCCCATCCCAGTTCATCTCAGCCTTTACATGTTCTTTCTTCCAGGGGTTTCTCATCTGGTTGTGTTATTTAACATTGATAGGCACATCACCAACAGTACCGTTACTACCCAGGGGGTTCCGATTTGTTGGGAGCTCAATTATGTGAATTTGTTCTCCTTGGGCAATATTTCACCACAGATCTGTGGGTTCTTTGGATTTTATCAGAGGGATTTGCCTATAATCCCATCTCAGGTATCCATTTCCTCCATTCTTTGGGATCCTACCACCAGCCAACATCTGTTAGAGGCAGAACAAGACCTTTTGTCTCAACAGGCCATCGAACCTGTTCATCATCTTTCTCCAGGCTGTTTGTTGTTCCCAAGAGAACCGGAGACTGGTGGCCTGTAATTGATTTGTCCTGCCTCAATCAATTTCTAAATTTGCCCCGTTTCACCGTGGAGTTCTTTCTCACTCTCAGGTTGGCTTTTCTCCAGGTTTTTTTGATAACCAAAACAGATATCGTGAATGTTTATTTGCATAACCCAGTATCTCATCAGTCGCGATCCTATTTTCAGTTTGTTCACCACAAGGTAGTTTATTAGTTTCACGCATTCCCCTTCGGGCATACTTCGGCACTGTTTTTTTTTCTATCGGGTGGATAAAATAGAGAAAAGAAGATGCCTAGAGAAAATGTGTCACGCGTGTCACAATAGGGGAAATTCCAAAATTTGTTTAAAAATTGCCTTATAGAATTAAGAACTTAAAACTTATATACTATTAGAATATGGATTATTAGCTACAATTTTATGCTATACTAATTGGTATAACATAAACAAAAAGTAGTTTAATAAAATATTTTAATGTAAAACACAAAAACCTTGTATCATGTGCAGTAAAGGATTCCCGTGGTTATAGGGTTAATCAAAAAAGTAAGACAGGTTTAGAAAATAAACCTTAATGTTATCAATAAATAATTTTATTGTTAAAAGTGCATGTACTTCATAAGTTGATCATGTAATTATGAAAACAAATACTTTCATGAATGAAAATTAATTGATGATATGATTTTTTTTGTCTTATAGGAAGAACAGTTTCGAATTGCACTTATCCTTCCTTACAATATTTTTGGTAAGTATCACAGGACATAAAACACACAACATTAGAATTGAGAATCATAATTTAAAACTTCTCCATACATTTGCAAAATTATGAGTTTTCATTATACTATTAACTATAAAGAGATATAAATTACCTAAATAAAATATTAATAAAAATATAGATCAAAATGGCACTGTGTTAGTTAATCTACGTTGCTCATAACAAACAGCTTATGGACATTGCCACTAATGGTACAGACACATATGGTATAACTTATTTCAGATTAAAGCACTTATCCTTTGTCAAATTGCTCTAAAATACTTAATGAAAATTTGCTTTAAAATTTGATTAGTTTTAACAGTAAAATTTCTTAAGAGTGAAGACAAAAAGGAAAAAGACTGGAAGTAACGGTAGTCCTTGAAGTAGTAACTAAACATAATAACCTGAATGTTTCAGTACTGAGTGATAATAAGAAGAAAAAAGTTTACTCTCATTCTGTCAACATACATGTAACTCAAAATTTGTGAATATTCTTTACGAATTGAGGAGCATGCTTCACTTATCATTAGTCTGTCTTAAAGTGTTGTTGTTTTCAAAATTGTGTCTTATATTTCTCCAACAAATCACCTAATTTTTTATGTATATACATCATTACTGTGTTTTGTCTGCTTTCTCTGTTGCAGGCTACAGAGGTGACCTCTCTTCCTACTTTAGATGCTAAAAAAGGCTTCTTCCTCTCTCATCCTCCATTCTTCCAGAATATCTTTTGAGCATTCTACTTAGTTCTTTTATAAGTATCTAAATGATATCTTCAGTGGGACTAGTCTCTTAAGATGTCTTGCTTCTTCTTTGGAACTTTTAGCAATTGGTTTGGATAATTTTTGTTTTTCTGTTTTATTTTTTGATGTTCCCATTGCATTGTGCTCAAGTTTTTGAGCTCCATTCTTGGACAGCTTAGATTTTTATTTAGTTCTCCCTGAGCACCCACTACTTTGGCTGATTTGTTACCCACTGACCTTCTTGGATATCAATCAATAAAGAGGGGTTACAGCCCCTATAATATGTTCACTCATAATATTTAATTGGGCTGCCACTCCTGCCACAAGAATCCTCCACTACAGGAACATGACATAATATTCCTTCTACCTTTTCATGCCTTCACCTGTGTTCCAATTGTTAGCTCCATAGGTATAATAAAATACTACCACCTTTACTAACCCTTTTTATTTTTTGTACAAACTGAAGGTCGTCAATAATGGGGGGTGCCTTATTGAGAAGAATGCCTTATTTCTGAGCATCCTTAGGTCCAGTCTTTATACAAGAATGTTCTGCTCCAGTTATTCTCTCTTCAATACAATTCTTTGAATCTTTCTGATTCTGGATTCTACTTAACTAAATCTTTATTGTGGTTTGGATTATTATTTTCTTGGCCTGTTACTTGTAGATTTATAACTATTTCTGTATCATTTTCACTCTTAATTTTTGTTTTGTATGTTTTGGCCTGTAATATTTCAGAGGTAAGACTACCTGATTTGAATTTATATTTTTAAATTTAAAATTGATCCTACTCACCTCCCCATAACTGGTTTTCATCATGACTGTAACTCCAAAGATAGTTGAATTATGGTTGTAAAACAGAGGTTATGTAAGATCCCTGACACAAACACAGTAAGTCATGTGGGATAGTGGAGAATGATATGTGTTGCATGCTCTACAATGTGCAAAGAACATTCAGAATTTTGAGTCACACAGCATTAGAACAAAATCAACTAGTAAAGGTCTATAGCATTGTAGAGGTTAATACTTGTTTGAAATTCGTGTAGAATTTTGTGAGGAACGTGTGTTTACTAGCTCTTTATTCCAAACTGTAACTCACTACATTAAGGTAAGTTACTGTTTAGCACCTACCCGTACTGTCTTGACATGTCATTCTGTTCAGATAGTTTGAAGAAGCAAATACTAGTACTGCTTCAGTTTTATGTCTTATGCTCACACCTTATATTGCAATAGAGTGTTAGCAATTTTAAAATGTTCAAAATTCATTGAAATATTGTGTAATTCTCTTTGTTTTCTTCTTCTTGTTAGCCAATAAGTAACAACAACCCTTTAGGTTTGGGCAGGTCAGTCATTGCAGCCATTTAATTCATTCAATGACTGATTTACACTTATTAAACTCTTTTTTTTAAATGTGAGTTTAATTATGTCACTTTTTCTGAAATTTTCAAAACAAACTTTTAACATCATTACAATTCATAACTAAAACACCAAGAGCTGTGTTACTTATATGAAAATGCTTGTATTCTCATTAATTTGATACCCTTTATACTTTTTAAAAAACATGTATTAGGTTGTCAAGAAATTAATGTCACGTTTTGGAACACTTTCATTAACCACCCCCCAGAAAATGTACATCACGTATAATACTTAAACAAACCACCTAAACATCACGTTAGTGTAGCCTATATAATGTGTACAGTTTAGTATACTCTAATCCCTTATAGTGATGGCACAAATTATGCACTAGAAGAAACGAAGCAATGTTCATATGTTGGAAACAAACGATGATCACTGGAGAGTTCATGAGGCACTCAAACATCTTCTTTATGACGTTTCCCATATTCCTTAGATGTTTATGTATTATTTCACGAGAGACGCAATTTCAGAGCCATTTCACAAGAGTGTTGTCTAAGGTTAGACTCAACAAGCGTCTTCTGGCTAAAGTCACCTGAACGAAATTTCTGTCCATCGTTAACACTTACGAACATTCAAAAGATTTACATAAACTTCTTTAATACTCTTTGTGGCTAAAGAGGCATTGTTTCCCTTCTTGTATTCAAACAGCATTACATGCCGAATGTGTGTCTCATCGCCTCTTGAAACATTTTTGGACAGAATTGTCACCAGTGATGTAAAATAGATTCTCTATGTGAATATTAAATGGCTCAGTCCTAGACAAAAACCACTTACGACCCCAAAACCTGGACTCCATCTACAGAAAGTGATGCTTTGCATTTGGTGAGACATCAAAGGAGTAATTAATTTCAAACTCCTCAATCCACAGTGAACTGTCAATGCAGAGATCTATAGTCAGCAACTGGAACA